CCCAGCCTAGTCCTAGAACTTTAAAAAAAAAAAAAAAAGCCTCATACTTACTGGCTGCAGCAGTGGTGACTGGGGCCTCTGGGTGCTTGTGGCAGAGCCCCCCTGTGCAGCACAGGGCAGTGGGGGGCAGCGGAAATTGCCCACTACCTTGCACCCACACAGCAGCTGCCCCATGACAGTGCACAGTGTCCTGCTGAGCCATGCTGCACCTGCACTGTGGGCCAGTTGTCATGTGGGTGTCAGGCGGGGGGGCGGTGATCCCCACTCTCCTGTGCTGCATGGGGGTCTCTGCCATGAGCCCTTAGAGGCCCTGATTGCTGCTGCTACAGCTGGTGGGTGCGGGGCTTTTTTTAAGTGCAGGGATGCTGAGGCCGGACGTGGGATGCGGCCAGGCAGGGCAGCTCTGGGGGCTTCTCCCGCAGCTCCCCCGACCCAGGGAGAGGTAGGCACAGCTGAAGGAGCCATGGGAGAACCTGCAGCTGCCCAGCTGTGCCTGCCTCTCCCCAGCCAACCTGAATCTCCAAATCTTTTCCACATTAATTTGGAGGCTTCAGATCTGATTCAGACCTTTTAATGGGTTTCCATATTCGATTCAGATTTGGAGATTCGCACGCTGAATCAGGCCAAATCTCCTCCGAATTGAATTGGCAACTAAAGCTTTGCACAGCCCTAGTAATCAACATAAAGGGTTGCAATCTAACATTTCTATCAAAAAATGTTCACCTATTCAGCCCTATAGATGTTGCATGGGGGACATTGTATCTTGTCTGATTATCAGACGATATCTAAACAGCAGCAGATTTTCTCCACAGTAAAGGTTTAAGGTATTTGTCTAATAATCCTCCTTTAACTTAATTGTAATTCAATTCCACCATCACTCTAAAAATAATAAGTAGGTGTGTTTTGTGTAATTATGAAGGCATCTGTGTCTTTTGTTTCTGGTACTATAAAGTGAGTTTGTCATTAACACCAAGTAAATCCAAACCAAAAAAGAGCTTTCTCTGGAATGAACCATATTGTACATAAGATCAGTTTACAGTACTGTGAGGGAGGGAAGCAGAGGAGGTCTTATACAAATATAATAAAGCACTGAAACATATACCAGTTTGTTTTTTTCAAAGGAATGTATATTTTTTTAAAAGAGGAAACAGATTTTCTTCCTTTTAATTATTGCTTTAATGACAATACCCTAAAGGCTTGTGTTTTCTCTCTTTCTGGGTCATAGAATGCAGTACTATCTTTGGGGAATCAGTGACACTTCTCTTTGGCTGCTGAGAGTGTTTTCTGTGATTGATAATACATTTTTAAATATTTGTATTACAGCACCACTCAAAAGCTACAGCCAGGTTCATAAATTATGTTGTGCTAGGCACTGCACAAACCAACATGCACACATGGCCTCTATCCCCAAAATTATAAAATTTATCTTTTGCAGAACAAAGTCTTCATTTATCGGGGTAAGGAGTATGAGCGGAGAGAGGATTTCCAAGCACAGCTGATGAGCCAGTTCCCAAATGCGGAGAAAATGAACACCACCTCGGCCCCTGGAGATGATGTGAAAAACTCTCCTGGGCAATGTATCCTTAAAGATCGGAATTTATAGAATAAAGAAGAAAAATAAAGGCTTGTTTAAGCAAGCTTGCCTGACAGCATTACCAATTAAGTTATTAGTTACTGGGTATATCTACATGAGCAATTAATGTGAAGCAATGAACTCTGGAGCAGTTGGAGCTGGAGTAAACAGCTTCCAGGCATAGCATCTACATGCACACCCAGGACAGCAGCAATTTGAGCCAGGGCAGAGCAGGTCCAGGCTGGCAGGGGGCATGGGGTCAGCCCTGGGCTTTGGGTCATGACTTTGGGTAGTAGAGAGACCAGCTGGGGCAAAAGGGCACTGAACCTGTGAAGCTTTGTCCACCGCCGAGCATGCTGGGGAACCCCCCACGCTCCCGTGGGACATTACATCTGCCCCAGCATCTTAGCATTCATGAGCTGCCTGTTACCTTGAGGTATGTAGAAACAACATATAAAGCTGTGTCTATGTCAGAATCGTCAAATCTCTCCGAATCAATTCAGAGGCTTCCAATTTGATTCAGAGAGATTAAAGGGTCTCCTGATTTGATTCAGATTCGGCGATTCAGCCGCCGAATCGGGCCAGATCTCTGCCAGATTAAATCAGCGACCAAAGCTTCGCACAGCCATACTGCCTGGCTTCCACTCTAGCCTTCCAGGATCTCACCCTGCTTCACTGCGTGCCATGCCTTTGTTGTAATGACAGGAAGCTGTCCTCAGAGGCTGGTGATCTCTGGTTGCTTGCTCTCTCTCTATGCTGTCTCTTGGGTTCAACCTGGCCCACCTAATTGGGTTCTAGCCCCACCACCCACAGTCTCTTGGCCTTGGGGCTTCGACCCCACTGCCCCTAATCACCTTAAGGGCTATATTCCTGAACTCCACCCTTCCCTACATCTATGCCCATGTCTGTCCACAGTTTGGTCCTCCTGTAGAGGCCTCAGCCCTTCTGCCTTAACCCCCTTTTATGCTGGTTGCAGGTTTCCAGCCTTGGCCCACTGGTTCAGGCCTGGCTCACTCAGCCTCAACCCGTTCTGTATCTCAGATCTTTGGGCCCCTTAGCCTTGTCTTGCACTTCATCCTAGCTTCTAGCATCCCTGACCCAGGGCAAGGCTGCTCTGTTTCACCCTGACCTTTAACTGGGCTCAGCCTCCTAAGACACCTGATTCTGCAGGGCTGCTCTTTCCTGCCTCTAAATTGTTTAGGCTTCTGCTCCACATAAATGACTGGGTCCCAGACCCCATGCTGGGTGTCCCTGCAGCACCCCTGTGGCTTCCTATTCACCCCTGTTACCCACATCTGGTCCTCCGGTACATGTGTTAGCTACAATGCCCTCTTAAATCCCCTCCAGAGTCTGCCAGGGTCCTATCTACTCCTATCTAGTAGCTGTTGGATGTCAGAGCTTCTTCTGGTCCCAGTGGTGGCTGGGTTCCATTTTGTTGCCACCCAGCCCAGCAGGAGCTGTCCTCTTAGCAGGAGTGAGGGTCTGGTTGAGTGGCCAAGCTCTTAGGATTCTGGACTCCACCTGCTTTATCTTCTCTTTGGCCATGGGTTCCTAAATAGCCCAATACCCTGCTGCCTTCAGGTGTTATGGCTTAGCAACTGAGCTGCAGCTACTGCTCCCTTCCCTGCTGCCCTTTACTCTTAGAGGTTTTCCCCAACTGCTTGTCTTTCTGCAGCTGGCTCCTGTCTAGCTGCCTACTTAATTGCTGCCCTGCCACTGGTATCCTACCTCTGAGGTAGCAGGAGTGAGGGAGCCCTGTTATATTCCCTTGTTAATCTCCTTTCTTCAAAGCTAAACATACCCAGCTCTCAGGCTTTCCTCATACTACAGTTTGCCTTCCAACCCCTTTATCAGTGCCATCATTAAGGTGGGGTAACTGGAGCAACTACCCCAGGTGCTTCTTTGGAGAAAAGAACAGCAGCTGCCAGGAGGTGCATGTTTGTCTTGGCAGTGTGATGGCAACCAGAAGTCACCATTGTTCCTGTGTCCTGGTTGCCTGGTAACATTACAACACTGCTGCCCTTTTTCATTTTTCTTCTCTGCTTCTGGACCCTTTCCAGCTTCTCCACATCCTGAAAATGTGGAGCCCAAAACCTCAGACAGTACTCTAGCTGAGGCCTAACTGGTGCTAAATAGAGTAGTACATTCACTTCTTGTGTTTTACACGCAATGCTCATATTGATGCAGCCAAAATTACATTTGCTTTTTGTACAACTGCATCACATTGCTGACTCATACTGAATCTGTGATCTGCTGAAATCCCCAAATCCCTCTCAGCAAAACTACTGTTCCATTTATCTCCCATGTTGTATTTGTGCATTTGATTATTCTTCTTTAGCATCTTTTATTGTGTTTAATTTCATTTTGTTGTTTTTAGACCATCTCTCTAAGCTATAACTACCATGAGTTAGGACATTTGAGTTCTGCCACTCATGAACTCCTAGTTTAAGTGAGAGTTACCACACTACAAACCAATATTCTAGCTGCGGATCATGCAAGCATAGAAGTGAGAGATTAAGTGGTTCTCAACCTTTTTCACACTGGGACTCATTAGCATAATTATCAGATTGCCGCGACTCACAACCCCCTGGCCCCGACCCACACAGTCTCTCTCTCTCTCTCTCTCCCTCTCCCTCCCTCCTCTCCTCCTCCTCCTCCTCCTCCTCCTCCTCTTCTGGGTGCTGCATCCAGCCCCCTCACTCCCCCTCTGGCTCCCGGGGCTGCTCTCACATGCTGCATGCCCACCATGCCCCTGACTGCTTGTGGGCTCCATGCAGGCTGCCAGCGTTGCAGCCTGCATGGGGAAACCACTCAATTCCCTGGGACCTCCCTATGGCCCTTTACAATTTTCTTGCGACTCACTTTTGGGGTGTAAACCACGGGTTGAGAAACGCTGATAGAGAATGAAATGGAATAAAAATATAGTATGTTCTCAGCTAAGAAAGTATAGAAAGGGCACAACTGTTATTCCCCCAACTCATCGATAATATTATTCCTAAAATTCTAAATGATCAATTTGTAAATGATCTCGGGATTAGGACATAGACCTGAGATCAAGGGACATGATGTTTTCCTGGCTAGAATGGATGTACTATGTTATCTTGAGCAAAATGTTTCCTTTCTCTGTGCCTCCATTTCTTCACCTGTAAGAGGTGGGTAGGGATTCTTACTTTAAAAGGGGACTACAAATATTCATATCCATGAATACTGCTAAGTGCTGTGAGAGAGTCAGTTTAATGGTTTTTGCTGAATGTTTTTAAATGCAATTAATATGTGTATTCTGCTTGTGACATCAAACATTTTAAACTGTTACATTCAATTAATTCATAGTTTTCCCAGAACACTATAGATATTGTTTATATTCTTCCAGTATTTCTTGGTTCCCTTCATTCTTATGATATTTCTGAATTACAAGAAAGGCAATATTTTGTAAAAATGTCATGTGTTAACGTTTCACTATTTATTCGGTTAAATGGCATCTTGTACTTTGATTTTTAATTGCCCACTCTCATACTGACATGGACATAAAGTCTTATAACCATTATGCATATCTTTAAAGAAATGTTATATAACAGCTTGTCAAGATATCATCTGTTCCATTCTCAGTCCCTGACACTCAAGGGAAAGAAAACACTTAAAACAAGAGGCTCTTATTGTTTTTAATTCACCCTTTGCCCTGCCTGTTCTCTACAGCTTCAAAAAATATATAGATATGTGAGAGCTTTTGAAATCCATGCAGGCTCTTCTTATCTGCAGGGCATCATTTTTTGGAAAGCTACTATAATTACCAAACAAACACACTTCATTTTTATTTGTACATTGTACCTTATCTAACTAACTTTCCTCCTCTTCTAAAAATATTTGTTTTATCAAAAACAAATTGGTGCACAGTGATACTATGCAGAACAATACCTCCCCACTTCTCCCTCTTAACCCCCACATGCACTTATATTACTTACATTAATGTTTCAATTATCTTTGTGTTGTGGTTTTTATTCATGAATCGAGGAATATTTTAAATTTGCTCTTCACTGCTACTCAAATAGGCAAAAGAACTTTTTTTTAAAAGCTCTTGATGAAAAGCAAAACTAATGATCAAACATCAGTGAGATTAAAAGCTTTGGAGGAGGCTATTCACTAGAGGTCAAATCTCTTGTGCTGACAGCTAGCTTCACTGCCAATAATATCTATAGGAATTTAGCTGCGTAGAGCAATCATTTAATAAAAGGGATGAAAGCTTATTTAAGTGGCACTTCAATTTCCAGTTTTGCTAATATGACCTGTTAGCAAAACTTTGAAGCCTTCTTCCTAGTGTGTATGCCCTCCTCTCAAACAGTTCTAGAGCAGGCCATCTATTTTAATCTTGTTTTTAGGTGTGCACACAGTTTATCTATCACCTTAAATTGTAACAAGATTGGTGAGCTTCTGTGTTGGAGACCTGTAAATTGGCAGATTGCCTGTCACCTGGTATTTCTGGGTCTTAAAGGCATTTCATTCTAGATTGTCATTGGCCTTCATTAAAAGCCACATTCAAGATTAACCTTGAACATTCTTCTTATGGTGACTTCACTTATAAATCTACCTTCCTTCATGGTTTTTTGTTGTGGTAGTCTCAAACATAAAATACTTCTCGAAACACCTTTATCCAAGTTTAAAAAGGACTTTAATGTATCTTGTTGTTTGAGATGTCCATTGTTGATAGAAGTATTTTCTGTTTCATCATGTTCTTATTTGAATCTTTGAAGAAACATTGTTTTGGATCGGGATTCAATACTCCTCAAATTCAGGGTGGAATGAGATGTAATAAGCAAAGGATAAGGTATTCAGTTTGTGTCCTTGACTACTTTTAGATTTTTTTTTTTAACTGTACGTATTAATAGACTTTCCTCTGCACATTCTTGAGTTTATCCTCACAACAGTCCAATGAGGTGAGGAAGTACATGAGAACTGAAGGATGAGACTTCCCAGGGGAAATACAGGAAGTATTCCCCTTCCCAGGGGAAATACATAAAATAATGGGAGATATGGGCCACTGGACTGATTTTTTTCTGAAAGGATTAGATGCTGTCATATTTATTCCTTAAGCAGTAGGAATATTGCAGAGCCTGGGCTATTTCTACACATAGGGAAAGGAGTTACAATATGACTTTAACTGATTAAGAATTGTGTAAAAGTGTATGGTATGCATACGTTATGTTATAATTAAACGAATCAATGTCACAGAGGAAGGAAACATAAAATAAAATTGAGCTAACATAATATGGCTAAAGATTTACAATGTGACATTTTGTCCAATCAATGCCATGAATTATGCCTGTGTCAAACATAAGTAGTAAAAATATTTTCGTCAACTGATTCATTACGAAGTGGCTTTGTTCTGTAATAAAAACATTGATTCGATGCAATATATTAAGCCACAGGAATTCCAGCTTAAATGGTACTCGGGTGACACGCCATATTGTGTACGTCAGAATTATGGTTAAGTGATTTATACTCATACCAATTGGCAAATATTTCCTTTCGTGGCCCCTCCCCCTAAAAAGGTTATTCATTAGAACATATTATTTGATTCTTAGACTATTGAGAACATTTCAGATTCATGCTTGATATACCCTTAACCCATGTGATTTTAGATATTCAGTGTTTTACAGTGCAACCTGTTCTGGAGGAGCATCCCAGATTCAAAAATAAACCAGTACCTGATCAAATTATAAAGTATGTTTAGGTCTGTGTGATAAATGTTGCTGTGAAATGTGTGTGAGCCTAAATCCAAGGAGCCAAGTTATTAATTTATGAACACAGCCCTCTTTTTGGTAAACTGAGATTCAGATTTCTTCCTCACTAAGTATCTCTTTTCCTGGCATTTCTCAGAAGAATGTTAGCTATTTTACATATGACTATATACTTACAAGAAAAAATCAATTTACTCAAGGTATCAGGGCCAAAATCTGTATAAACATTCTTTTGCTTCAAGTCAAGTTGGACTGCAGTTTGTATGGCAAAGCAGAATTGTGGCATACTTTGCTTTTTTTTATCCTGCTGCAAATATGGGTTTCAGCTTAGCCTCTAATACAAACAGTAGATAGTGACCTTAAGGATGATTTTCATAGATTCATAGATTCATAGATGTTAGGGTCAGAAGGGACCTCAATAGATCATCGAATCCAACCCCCTGCATAGGCAGTAAAGAGTGCTGGGTTCAGATGACCCCAGCCAGATGCCTATCTAACCTCCATTATATTTGTAATATAATGACTTGTTTACATATGCACAATGCAGTGATTCTCAAACAGGATGTTATGACACCCAGGGGTGACATGAGATCTTTTGAAGTGTGTTATGGAGTATGATGAGGTCCCTGTCTGGCCTCTCCCTCCTCCCCCCCACCCCCACTACCCAGCCCTCCATGTGGGGAGGTGAGTACTGTAATCATTTAATTCTTTTTTTTTAAATGGGGTCTGGCTCAGTTCACAAAAGTTATGAAGAGAGCACAGAGTCTAAGGAGGCTTAGAACCACTGCCCTGTGCTTTGTGGTTTCATAAGGAAGCAAAAGTTTAGTGTCCAACTTCTATTGAACATCCATGGTAATTGTGCACCAAATTCTCTTTCAGACTCCCAGTCTATTATCATAGTACCTGTTTTGGAGTTCTCTTCGCCTCCAGAAAGTGTTGCAACACTCACCTCTCTCTCTCCCTCTCCCCCCACCCTCAATTACTGAGCCAGCTTTTGTCATTACTTAACAATTATAGTTCACTAACCTATGCATGGTACTCATTAGCCTTCAGTAGCCATAAGATGCTCTCCTATTTTGCTTTATTTTCCTAGTGTATTTATCAATATCCATTTTCTGAATCTTTCCTAAAACTCATACTTTTCTTAACTCTGCTGTCATCTGGTTTTGCTGTACAGATCCCAAGGTGCCTATTACTCCAGATCAGCTTTCTCACTCCAAGTCTGACTTGACTTTGCCCCCCCCCCCCACA